GGGGGGGGGGGGGGGGGGGGGGGGGGGCGTGACTGCAGTAGTAGTACCAACAACATTGAGCGGAAAGAGGAAGAGCTTTGACACTACACAACCCATGGATTCTCGTGCCATTTGACACACCCTTTCGTTACGCCATTTACCACAATCGCTAATAAACATGGCAGACAAAGACAAGACAAGAGGGTTGGGCACAGTAAGACACGCCCTCGCACCGCTCGTTTATCCACCCGCCGCTCCCTCCTTCCCTCCCTCCCCACGTGCTCTCACCCTCAGTAGCGCCGCCGCCGTCATCGGCTCGCAAGCCCCGTGCAGCCAACGGTCCAGCTCTTTCTCTATCACCTCCACCGACTCTAGCCAAGCCGCGGTAGGCGCAAGCCCGCAGGCCGCGCAAGCCGAAACGCCCGGCCGGGCCAGGGGGGCGGGGGGGGTGGGGGGGCCGCAATTTCCGCCAACACCGGAAGGGGGCGAAGGACCAGGACGGGAACAGGAAGGCGACGAGGAGAATCGTTGCTTCTGCTGCTGTTGCTGCTGCTGCTTCTGCTGCTGCTTCTGCTGCTGCTGCTCCTGCGGCTGTGGTTGCCGCGGCTGCAGTTGCTGTGACTGCTGTTCTTGCTCTTGGGGTGGTCTCGGGCAGTCGTTGTTGCCGTTCGACGGGTGGACGGCTCCTTGGTGGCAGCGGGGGCAGCGGAAGCCCCGCCAGATGTCATACTCGGCGTCGCAGCGGCTGCAGTGGCACTCGAAAAACCTTTTCGTCGTCGATGATGTTCACACACGTTTTTTTTTGGGGTCCAGCGTGTAACCATGAGAGAGGTGAGACGTTGGTGACCACGACCAAGGCAGGAGGGACGGCCGCCGGTTGGGTTTGAAGGCCGGAGACACCAATGCATCAATGGGAGGAGATAACAGTTTCAGCCACAACACCCCCACAGAAAACGAAACGTCTGTGAGCACCGAAGAGAAACGCCTCGCGTTCGTGGTTCGGAATCGCATCGCCGCGGCAGCAGTTCGTCAAAGTTGAGACGAGTCGAGCCAACATTGTCGCTAGCCGGCGGTAGCTATTCGGCGTGTACGCCGGGGAACTCGACCAGTGGTGGTGCGCACGGCGAGAATGTCTGGATGCTCGCAAATTGGGGGAAGGGACGTCATGACCGGGAAGACCCTGTCCACAAGAGGACGAATCCCTCCAACGCCACCCCCACAAGAAAACGACGATTCTACGGTGCCCCCCCTTCCCCCCCTCCTCTCGCTCCGTCCTGGCATTGTAGGGATGCGAGGTCAATGGCCTAACGACTACGGCATGCGCTTACATTTGTGCACCCCCCCATCACCACCCCCATTCTAGACTTAAGGTGAGTTGGCGCTGTTGGCAAAGCGCTGTACAACACGCCACCCCAAATGTAGCCCCCATAGTATGCGCTACCAAAGACGCGTGACGCATGGATGCGTGGAGTGAGGATAGCTTACGGAAACCTCACAGGTTGAGTGGTGTAGGAGATTGCCGGACACAGACGTGTTGCGAGATTATAGCTGTATACTGAAACCCCAAAGGTTGAGTGAGGTTTGAGATTGCCAGACACATGGACGGATTGAGTAGGGATAGCTGCATACTGAAACCCCACGAGTTGAGTGATGTTGGAGTGCCGGACACATAGACGCGTTGAATGAGAATAGACACATACTGAACCTCACAGGTGATTTGCATTGGAGATTGCCGGACACATAGATGTGTTGAGTGAGGATAGCTGCATACTGAAACCTCACGAGTTGAGTGATGCTGGAAAGTGCCGGACACATAGACGCTTTGAGTGAGGAAAGACACACACTGAAACCTTACAGGTGATTTGTATTGGAGATTGCCGGACACATAGACGTGTTAAGCGAAGGTAGCTACATGCTGAAACCTCACAGATGGATTGGTTTTTGAGTTTGCCAGACATATTGACGCTGCGTGGGGATAGCTACATACTGAAACCTCACGAGATGAGTGATGTTGGATAGTGCCGGACACATAGACGCTTTGAGTGAGGAAAGACACATACTGAACCTCACAGGTGATTTGCATTGGAGTTTGCCGGACACATAGACGCTTTGAGTGAGGAAAGACACATACTGAAACCTCACAGATACATTGGTTTTTGAGTTTGCCAGACACATAGACGCGCTGCGTGAGGATAGCTACGTACTGAAACCTCACGAGTTGAGTGATGTTGGATAGTGCCGGACACATAGACGCTTTGAGTGAGGAAAGACACATACTGGAACCTCACAGGTGATTTGTATTGGAGATTGTCGGACGTATAGACGCGTTGAGTGAAGATACCTGCATACTGACACCTCAAAGATAGGTTGGGTTTTGAGTTTGCCAGACACAGTCTAGACGCGCTGCGTGAGGATAGCTACATGCTGAAACCTCACAGATGGATTGGTTTTTGAGTTTGCCAGACATATTGANAAACCTTACAGGTGATTTGTATTGGAGATTGCCGGACACATAGACGTGTTAAGCGAAGGTAGCTGCATACTGAAACCTCACAGATGGATTGGTTTTTAAGTTTGCCAGACACATAGACGCGCTGCGTGGGGATAGCTACATACTGAAACCTCACGAGTTGAGTGATGTTGGATAGTGCCGGACACATAGACGCTTTGAGTGAGGAAAGACACATACCAGAACCTCACAGGTGATTTGTATTGGAGATTGCCGGACACCTAGACGTGTTGAGTGAAGATACCTGCATACTGGAACCTCAAAGATGGATTGGTTTTTGAGCTTGCCAGACACATAGACGCGCTGCGTGAGGATAGCTACGTACTGACACCTCACGAGTTGAGTGATGTTGGATAGTGCCGGACACATAGACGCTTTGAGTGAGGATAGCTGCATATTGAGACCTGAAGGGTTGAGTGACGTTTGTGACTGCCGGACACATAGACGCTTTGAGTGAGGATAGCTGCATATTGAGACCTGAAGGGTTGAGTGACGTTTGTGACTGCCGGACACATAGACGCTTTGAGTGAGGATAGCTGCATATTGAGACCTGAAGGGTTGAGTGACGTTTGTGACTGCCGGACACATAGACGCTTTGAGTGAGGATAGCTGCATATTGAGACCTGAAGGGTTGAGTGACGTTTGTGACTGCCGGACACATAGACGCATTGAGTGACGAAAGCTGTATACTGAAACCTCACGGATTGAATTGTATTGGAGATTGCCGGACACATGGACGCGTTGAGTAAGGATAGCTGCATACTGAAAATCCACAGTAGCTATG